AATTTAGATAAAAATTACACGTCGAAATATTATAAATAATATTACACACTTTAACTAAGGATGATAAAATTTATATCGCCGAGTAAGTTTTGATGTCATTAAAATTGAAATAAAACTAAATTTTGGTAAAAAAAAACATTACGAACAATCTTTTCTTATAAGATGAGATATTGAATTTAATGAGAATATTCATGTAGTCTCATAGGTTTCCTGAAAATTAACTATTTTCAGTGTTTTTCAAGATCTTTTTATTGTTTAATAATCTTAAAATTAAAAAAGACATTTGATGTGTCTACAATACAGCAAGTGACATCTTTTATTTTTTTTCAATTACCCTCCACCTTTCACCCTCCACTAGAGGTGTCCAGGTATACAATTCAATTATTTACATAGTGTCAACTCAAGTAGAAAAACAACTGTAACAGACAGACAACTGAGTGATTATCATCATCATCATCACCAGCGCAGGCCCAGTGCGGATTGTTGGGTGTTAACGACTGCAGATGCAGCCGGGACTAATCGCTTAATGTTCCTTCCGAAACAACTCGAGATAATGAAGTTTAGTGATCATATAAATGTTTTATTTTACCTTTCGAAATGCAAATACCTAAAAAATATTAGGTCCTGTTCTTTATAAAATTACAAACCTTTACTCAGCGCACAGAAAATTGTCAGGTTTCAATGTATTTATTTTTATATTAACAAGTATAAAAAACATGAAAACAATTATTTCAAGTACTTATCTACATTTTATTCGTTTCAAATTAAATTAAAACAATGTTAGTGCTGCGCCAAATGAAAACTAGACATGTCATGTCACCCTCGCAATAATACACACAAAATAGTGTTGTCAATCGTGAATATTTTATATAACACGTTATATTGCTTGAAAGAGCTGTTAATGTAGCTTTGGCATGTCATGACGTCCAAGCGATCATTATCGCAGTGTTATCGCTGATAAAAGAATATGTTAGTTTAAATTAATAATATTGTTTCATTTTCAAATCGTGGTATATTTGTAAATGTAATAATAGAAAGAAACTGTTTTAAATATATGAGTATTTTGCCAACATTCCTTTATCTAAAACTGTTTGTATTAAATATTTAATAGTTTGTATTAAGCCGGTAGATATTAGATGCGCACAATTAAATTACTATTTACTATTCTTTTTTAAATAGAACCGAGATTTCAAACTTTTGAAAAGTGAATAATAATACTTACTTTAAAAGGGGTTAAATTTTTCAAGAAACATTGAAGTTGGGCTGAGGTTTGTCTGTAGTTTAACTAATGTAATTTTAATATTTTATAACTATTTCGTTCAGTTTGAAACCTCTCTGGGTCGAAGTAAGCTTATTAATTCAACAGTAACCAAATTACTCGTAATACGTCGTAATCGTACAAGGCTCTTTTAAAAAAATTTAAGCCGTATTCCATCTACTCAAAAGTGACTCGTGAGCTGAGGAATCCTAGAACTTACTACTGATAATATCCTTAATTCATACATTTTAAAAATCTTTCATTATACATATTTTTCGAACGGACATTTTATTCAAAATACCGACCCATTAATGAGTCTCAATCAGATTTCCCGCACATCGCAAATTAACCCCAGTTCAAGCGTATGTCAATTACAAAAAAACACACGACCCTACGTTTAAATACGTTTCAAAAGCAATTAAACATCAACGGCTCGTATAAAAACGCCCTTATATCCGTTCAGTGCGCGACAATTTATCTAAATAACATGTTAATGCTGTGGGGCAGTGGTTACCTGCCCTCTTATCTCAATATCATCTCGATCTAGGTATGTACAGGGATCTTTTTTTATTTAAAACCACTATTGAACATCATAGGATTTAGTACTAATATTTTTGCCTATAAAACTATAAAACTCCAATACTTATTGTTGATCTTTTGATATCGATGCTTAAATGTGTAAATTAAAGCAGTCCATGGCCGATATCAAGATTAAAGTTTACTTACGTTTATCGCCATGCGCCTGTTTCAAGATGTCACCATTTCTTGAGGTCCCGGGTTCGATACCATGTAGAAAATGGTATTTTCTATATTGTCTCTGATGTGGATGTTGTGACACCTTCGCAATGTATGTGATGCTATCTTCATCAAATCTTTCTTTGGGGGTTTATTAAAACGCTTCGCAAATATCATATTAGAGTTTTATTAAATTAAACACAATTTTTTTAAAGTGGGTATTAAAATAAGAGTTTAACTTATATATTTACATAGTATTTATAAATATTAATATCTACTACCTACTCGCATAATCGATAAAAATGTTTCTGATTAGTTTTTCCAGATAATTTAAAATTGTTCCGATTTATTCGACATCGGAATGAGGAATCGGCGGCAATTTGTAAAAGTAATGGTACGATTGGTCAGGTGGGTCGGGTCATGGGAACACGCACCTGTCAACCGTTGTCAGCCTATCTGTGTTGTTATCTCTGCGACTAATAGCTGATGTCGCTTCTCTAAAATTTTAAACACATCACTTATATCTAGTGTGTTCATATTGCACAGATTTATCTGAAAATGTATACATACGTATCATAGTAAAATAATCAACTGTGGTATTGATTCGCCAGAATTATTAGAAAGAAAGATTTAAGATATTTTTCTAGAAGTATAATTTATATCATACTAACTTTCCACCAGAAGTTGCACCCACACGGCGTACACGACGACTTGACATCATATTTAAACTGGAGGCAACTGCTTAAACAAACTATACATAAATATGTCAAAAACTGATCGAGTTTGCATCTAACACATTAAAATACACACAAATCGTTTCAAATGATCGAATACCCAAGCGCGACACTTAGGATTTTACTAACTTATACAGGATTACCGATAATATACCGTTTATGCCATTCACAGGATTATAATGTCAATATTATTACTCGCTTCTTAATACCGTAAAGCCGGTTCATAAAACATATTGGGAATTATAATCGATATGTCGCATTTTATCTCGGTTTTGCGCTTGTGGCCGCTTTATGCTATCGCCATTTTATTGGAGATGTCTCATTCTGGATTCAATATTATGAATGATATCATATAGTATATTTTTATTAGGTAATAATAATTGTAATGGAAATATTTGTCTAGAGTAACTATTTATAGTAGGTTGAGGGTATAATTTTAGGAAAAGTTAGCGTATTTATGATCGATCACATTGGATGTAAAAAGCATCAACATTAATTATCATCGTCAGGCCGTACTCATGTCAGAATTAGGTACTGTTTATTAGATATCATTGTACCAATTATAAAAGAAGCATATAAAGTGGAAGAAGGAATCAATATCACCAAAACACCGTTATTATAAGTTTAAAGTACTGTAGGTCCTTTAATATACACAGAACTGTGCTACACACAAGACTTGCACTTCACTATAAATATATAATATGAAATAAATAAATATTGAATATTAACTGTTATCAAGTAATATAGTTTCAATTTAAAGTGATAATATTAATCGTTCTTAATTTATTCATTCATTAATGGGTTTCAATAAAAACGATCGAAGGATTTCACACCCTCGATTTGGCAGTATCATCACCGAAGATCCCGTTTTGACTTTCCATAATATAATTAAAATATGAGTAGTACCTACGAGATTTAATTGGTCACTATCTTCACCAATTACCATAAAAGTTCTCTAACTAACCGGCTGCTTTAATCGGAACGATATTTTTTTATACTTTATTTAAAACAATTTAACTTTAATTACACAGTTATAATAAATACATTAGTTGCAAAAACCTCCGTGTGTATTTACTTATTGATAAACGTGACGATTTTTTGTCAGCTGTTGTTTGTTTATTTTGCGAATTTAACCGTCACGAAGAGGGCTAAATTCGTAAAATAAAATAAAAATATTCCAAACAGTCGAACAAATGTTTTAGTTTGTACAAAAAAAAAAAACTAAAAAAACGAGATCCATAAAAAATACGTAAAAAGTATTACGTTACGTTATAAACGCGAAATGTATATGAAAGAATGTAGATACATTTTTTATTATAAAAATCATCAAAGTAGGAACAGTGACATCATTTGACAGTGAAAATTAATGAATCCATCATTTCCCACTAAAGATTAGCGGTGGATCACGTTTATTACTTTATGATTACAATAAAGAATGTGGAGTATCATTCTGATTTCCTATATATTCACCAATTATCTTAGTCATTTAAAGTATACGAATTTATATCGTTAATCGTGGTAATGGTGTCTTTCCCATATAGCCAGACCTCTTGATACCATGATATAGTTGATGTTTAATTATCGAAGAATTGCGCACATCCTGCGGTCGAAGCAAAGGCAAAAATCTGGTTCGGCCTTGATTGAAACGGTGCCTTCCGACAGCCTTGGATTACTTGAAGAGCTTCTTAATTATTGTGTGAATGGACTTTGAGAATGCATAAATCACGACATGACACAATACTGATGATCTGCTAGATAAGTCTAAAAATTATTACCTTTTTATATAAATGTGTTGTTCTGATAGTAGTAGTCAATGCTTAACACAGATTGCAGAGGTTGATAATTCTTAAATTCTTTTGATAATCTTATTTTTAATAGGTGTTCGACCATCAAAGGATTTTTTTTAATATATGTTTTATTTTGCAAATTGCTCGTCACATATCAAAAGTGATATTGAAATGCAATGTTGTAATATATATTTTAATATTTCTTCACGCACATACTCAGTCAAAGCACAATTCACTGCACTGCCCCATATATTATAACTTTAAAACATGTCATCTCCTAGGTTTGCACCTGCACGGTAGCTCCATTAACTTGAGTATTAACGGAGAAACGTCATCTCTTCCTTACACGAATTAATATCGAATCAATTCATCATTAAAGCAACGGTCTCACGCCCTAGCAAATTATCTTTCACCCCATCAGGAAGGTGGAAAGTCTAATAGAAATCAGTAATAAGAAACGCTAATCGCGCACGCGTTTGTGGACAGTTAGAGCGCCATCTCGCGTCATCTCGCGCGAGAGCGTGCAAAAACTTATATTGGATGTGTCAAGGAATGATTGATGCGTACGCGGACAAAAAGCGTCGCGGGGAGAACGGAGTGACGGAACCGTCCGTGACGCAGGTATGACTGCCTACCGAGTTACGCTTCATACATTTATTCATTCAGTTTTTGAGTTATGCGCATCAGTTTTGTTTTGTTGATACTATTTTATATTAATTTATTTTTCTAAATTAAAAGATGTTATAACCAATTTTTGTTACCATTAAAGGTGTTTTGAAAACAAAAAAGTAGCTGTTGAAAACATTTACAAAAATAATAAAAGTAGGTAAGACAATAACGGATTAATTCACTACATCAGCACTAGCCCTTCGTCGCGCCTCATTATTTCAACGTATTCGATTGTACATGACTTTTCAAGAAAAAATCTAAGTAAATACTTAATTATTGGTAATTTTTTATTATTTTAATATTATCATTTTATGATAATGTTAAATTTATATAAATCAGACTCAGTACTCTACAGATATACTCGTAATATTAAACCTTTTTGTGTGATATATTCATTTGTATTAACATTATTGGCTTGGCTATTTTGAGCCAATGACAAAAGTGAAAGGCCTAGAATAAGTTGCGGTTGTAATAAAAGGCTACGGGCAAACATTATATAGCATAAAGTTCTAAGTTTCAATAAAAACTTATTGAATTTACTTAATAATAGTGATAATGGTGCCAATTTCTTTGTACGATCGTCTAAACTAAAGAAATAGTGACTTCTATTTGTTTTTTTTCGAAGTTACTCAACAGTTACATATAATTACGGAAATATAATTTTATGTTTTTTCAGCATTGAAAGCGCAGTAAATCATACAACAGAATTACCATTATTATTTCTATTTTTAAACAAAATATATTCGATATAATTTTTTGTAAACTTAAAAACCGGCCGATTGCTAGTCGGACTCGCATTTGGAGCCTCTTAAATATTTATTTTATTATTATTTTTTTTATTTTTGCTGTTATAGTAGCAACGACATTCATCATCACTGTCCAAGTATATAGATACAGCCTGGTGACAGACGGACAGCGGAGTTTTAGTAATATAGTCTCGTTTTAACGATTGAGTACGGAACCCTTGAATTGAACAAGACACAATTGAATTTTATTCCAAAATTAATACTGATAAAAAATTTTACCCCAACATCTGTTTGATTGAATAAATGAGCCACTAAACAATTATCAAGCTAGCTGAATCTCAAATATCCATTATGCGTACCATTTTTTGCCGCCAAAACTGAATGATGAACTGAACTACACGCATGTGGTCTTAAAAAATAATTACAGGACTTTTACGCGGCCTGTCAAACTTAATGTGTAAATAGTAGCCTTCGTCTGAGGTGTGTTAAAGAACCCACTTGCGAAGCAAGGCGTCAATTTTATCAGGGAACCAATAATTATGCCATTAGATGCTCAATCGATATCCTATTGAACGCTCAATTTTAGCGCCATGGTTTTTTCTTTTTTTTTTCTTAATTCGAATTGAGCAAAGGAAATAGTGACCATTCAGCCTGTCTGCCTGTTATTATTTTCTCTAATCTAAGGGTACGTCCGTTACGTACCACAACTATAATTATTACAATGCGTTCAGAAATACTCCTGTCACAATGTTTTCACCGCCACTAAACATAAAAAAGTTCATTTATATAATTGTGATTTAAGAATTTTATGTAACGTTTATACTGCTTCTGAATTCAGTTATTTTTATGGAACTAAAACACTATTGCCTTTTTTAATGGTTTCTATCAGATCTCTAGTAATTAAAAGAAGCGTATATTGTTGTGGATCGTTGTTGGAATTTTTATTACGACGCCATTTATCTTTACTGCACTCCATACAGTAATATTGGCTTTGAAATGAAAGTTTGTGAGAAAGCACAGGTGGAGGTTATAATGACCTAGCTTATTGTGCTGGCTTTGCTCATTACACGATAGTCGAGTGGTTTGTTCCGATAACAGAATCGAATCGACCACCGTAGCTCTATCTATCTTCTAATCTTTCATCGCGTGAGATTTTTCACATTTCAATATTGTTATTATGAGCTTTAGTGTTGAGAAATAAGGTTGATATAAAAGCATGCACTGGTTTTCAAGGTTCATAATATAGTTGATAACCCTTTTTTATCGAAGTAAGGTGTACTTATAACTAACTTATGAATTGATTTAAGCAGCTCATAAAAGACATCCGCCATTAATCTATATTATAAAAACTTTCACTTTGAACTTCTGTCTGCTTCTTATTAGGGATAGGTCCTTTTAAGTCGCATAAACAATTTGTATACTAAATGGTAACTCATTCGTTTTGTATTTTAAATAACATCTATTAATTATTCAAGTGTAGGTAAGAATTTGAAAAGCTTTTCAATAATATTAGACCGTGAATAATTATCCTATGCCACTACTCAATTAAGTTTATTACTATAACATTTTGGCATAGTGGGATATAGTTAATTATGTTTTTTTTTTACCAATCTGTTATACTTTACATTATACCACGTTAGTGCGTTGCCTATCAGCAAAAAATGCCTTTTTAAAGAGTCGGCTTTCTTTGGGAAAGCATATTTGGTGATACAGAATCTAATACATTTAAACTTAGTGTTTTTTAAAATAATTTAAACCGTTATTTTTTATTTACTACATTATTAGAATACGTCATCATACTATAATACGTAACCTATATACTACGAAGGTAAATTTCGCCGCTATCTATACCGGGTGTTACAAAAATACCCGTTATAGCTGAAGGGTGTTGAAGTATATCATATAAACAGTACTCTGCCAAATTTTCAAAACCTTTGCATTAACTTTTAACTTTCAGTAAAAAGGCTAATTTTTAATAATTAATAAATACATCGAGTGTGCTATGTCACATCACTATTTTAGGTTAATGACCTTACCAGGAGTAATGGCACACTACCTATCTCCTATGTTTTCTATTTTTTTTTTCTATTCTCCTAGTACACACCCACACATACACACTAAGAATGAGAGAGAAAATATACTTAAAAACATGTCTGCGTTTGCCAGTTTACACAGTAAATACTTAACCTATTTCGATCGAAAATAAAATGAAAAGAAATTAAATAGGAATCAAATCATTGGCAAAATGGTATGGTAACCGACGCTGTTCAGCCGGTAGTCTAATTTCAGTAAAAAAAATTATAATACATATTATTATCAACGCGCACATCATTTCATAGCATCGTTTCCGACTCAGCTGTTTCTGAATTACAGATCAAACACCATTTTAAGTAGTACCTATTTATGATAGATAGGTAAAATTTATTTAAACACTGATATACGAGTCTAACTTTTAGTTCATACTTTAATGGTCCGACAAATCTGATTGATATTACGATAATAAAAAAAAAATGATATGCGACATAATTCACAAACGATTTTGGCGTATTTAAAAATAAATATTTGCGAATTACTATTTGTACTTTACCTTTTCACTTCCTTATTCACTGTTTAAGCATTACTTGTGAGGTTCACTCACCTACACTTTATTAGGCACTTAATTTTATTCCACAAGAAAAAACTAAAGATCGCGGCCAACCTCTGGTTCACTGACGTTTCAGTATAATTACATCTTTTCAAAATAGTCTCAATTTATATCAATACAACACTGCATCCCATGTAACACTGATAAAAGCACTTTTCATAGAACTCGGAATTAGAGAACACGGACATTTTCGAAACGTGATCACATCGACGACGTATGAACAACTGAATAAAGAAAAAGTGATAAAAAGGGAAAGCCGCCAATTTGAGTCCTTTATTATAAGCCGCTGCATAGTGTGCGGCATGTCAAAGGCGCACAGAAAGGTACCTATAGTTCCGCAATTAAATCTGAGAAGTAGCGGGATAGGGTTGCCATCTTCTCTTATTAGATCGGAAATTTTGTCCTTAAAGCCGGACTAAGTCAAATCTCTCGCGAAGCCGTAAAACAATATTACCGTAGTAGACAGTAATATTAGTTCACGGCTTCGCGAGGGTTACTGCCTAGTTATTCAGAGGGTGCGTTAAGCAAAAATCACTAACTTTCAATTGATTTTGTAGTAAGACGTAACATACAAATAAGCGGTAATTAAAGATAAGATAACTACATCATAATTTTAACGCTTTTATCACAGCCAAAACGTGAATTCATAAAATAAGGCTTGATCGTAACATCAAAACTGCACAACCTATTTTGAAAAAGGTTTTTTTTATAAAGTAATTTCGGAGACTATACGATGCAAACAAACTAACGATTTGTATTCAAATTTCGCAAATGCCCGTGCAACACTGCGTCTTTTTGGGTATTTGACGTTTTTCGAATTTGTGTGTATTCATAGTTTATTTGATATAGCTTCGGCACAGGTATACCAAAAACCTATGAAAACTATACCGCCGGACATGTGACATTAACATTTAGCTGCACACAATCTAAAAAGTCAAACATGTCCCGCTAAAGACGGATAGATGACAACCCTAGACAGGCGGCAATGTTAAAGTTTGAGCCTAAACTTCTAGTTGCCTAGTACCGAGGTGATCAACATTTTATTGTACAAATTAAAAAAATCGTCACAGGACATTGTTGCAACTAATTTTTTTACATACGTACGTAAGTACATAATACGTTACGTATTATGAACGTTACGTATTAGGAATTGTTAATTGACAAAGATTTTGTAAATTTTTATTGTTGTTGATAAGATAGTACATGGTTGTATTTTTAGTATTTACAAATTTAAACGTTGTTAATGTTTGGTAAAGACTAGTTTAAGTGAGAAATGTGATATACTTTCACGCTGCACCTGCAAACGAGCATGCTTGGCTCAGTCTGTAGAGTAGCATCGACTATCATAAGACATCGTTAAATAAATAAATTAATGTATTTCGTGGGCCGTAGTAATCTGCATACAATCGACATACCTGTTTAAAATTTTAATTCATTTTATACACCTTTTCTATTTTGAACTATTTTTCAAATAAATGACCATTTGTTTGTTAGCTGTGTCGGTCGTTTTAGGGCTTTTTCTATTTAAGGAAATAGGTAAACAGTACATAATAAAACGTCTCATTCATTTTCATTTCTTACAGCATTAAAATAGTGAATCCTATACTCTGATTCTAAAATTCAGTTGAATAGCCCACAGTAATAAAATAGATAATAAATTAAAATCCGTACCAAATGTTTACTACTACCGTATCTAGCGTCAAGTAGTCACTCGCGCGCGACATCACACAAACACGAACGATAATATTTCGTTTCTTTCTCTCTCTCTCTTTCCCTCCCTCTCTAATGGGTAAGCGTCACCCTGATCCAGGAGACATAAGTCCAAATCAGGCCACCGATTATTATTTTTCTTCCTTTTTCTTTTTTAAACAAGAAAAAATGCTGATCGTAATAAAATAGTATGTATAACATTGGTAAAGAAACCGACATACCTATTGGAAAGCTAATACTTTGACTAAACGAACAAAAATTGAGAAAAACACCAGAATACGCTGTTCGAGTCCGCCAACCGATTGTTCTTTTCCCTCGTTTTTGTCTTTCTTTTTTAAATATGAGAACGGAAAAATGCTCATCTTACAAATACGGTAGATATAATATTATTGATGAATTAAAAAAATCTTAAAAAATTAAGTTTTTAGTTAATTATTAATAAATAACTAGGTTATATTTTTCCTCTTTGTGGGTAAGATCCATAGAAATTATTCGTATTTTAAAAAGGACGACGATGACGATTTTTGTAAATAAGAAAGTTGTTACAAGTGTTGCAATTTTTTGTTTGACCATAAATGAAAATTGTGTAGAAAATCTCAAATTCAAACACATAATGATTATACTCCTGAATTTTGAATTCTAATGCAAGATGCAACCAAATTTATTATACATTTAAGTTCATATTAAGCTTAACACAATTCAAGAGGTTAAAAACTCTATGTTAATTCAATATTATATATTCATGTGTCGTATTAATTTGTTGTTATCAAATTGATCACTAATTAATAATGACAGGTGAAGAATGCTTGAAATTCCTTAAGACGTCGATACAGTAAACAAACACATATTTCATACATAAAGGTAACTTGTTCGAGCAAACAGATGCATGAGAATTTTACAATTTTAGCGTAAGAGCATTAATTATTTAAAATGTTGAGAAAATTTAATAGAATATTTGCTTTAAAATTATTGTTCTAAGTCGTTTACTAATTTATATCCATTTTAGAGATGGTAAAAGTAAAAGCGATCGTAAATAAATGAAGACAAAAAAGTATTCGCATAAAATTAAATATTACTAAATTCTATGTTTAATAATCTAATTTTATAAATAATTACTATTTCATTGTAGTCTGTCATTCTAATTTTAGCATTTTTTTTTACCTTATCTATTTAAATTTATGTTTTGGTTTTTATAAAGCTTTGATCATATATTCAATTTTGATAAAACTTACTACAACTAGCATTAATTAATGAAGTTAGTTAATAATCCCAATGTCTTCCTTTTTAAGTTTTCGAACCAAAAAAGGAAAAACCGGTCACGTATAGGATCACTACCAGTGTATGTCCATCCGTCTGTCACAGCCCCACATCCTTGATCTGCGAAATTACTGAGACGCACAATTATTAAAAAAAAAAAATACTGAAAATAGGTCTATACAAGTGTGCCTGTTTCCGATTGGTTCTTTCCCTTTTTTATTTATTTCGTCATCTCAACTTTACCATATCATCATATACACAACTTTTCTTCAACATTCCTGCCCGTACTGATGTACGTTCATGTATGTATCATCATTCACGTTTAAGATGACGTGTGAACCATGTTTATATTAAATATTACACTTCTTTATTTCCAGCAAGTGGCGACACCTACAGTAGTGAAAAAGATACTGCGTTTAAAACAAGAAAACCCTGGAATGTTCGCGTGGGAGATACGGGAACGGCTATTGAGCGCCAGAGTGTGCGAACCTCACTCCATACCATCAGTGTCATCTGTCAACAGAATACTGAGGAACAGTGGATTGGCTTGGAGCGATGACGAGCCGAGAAATGGGCATGGTAATATTATTTTTGATTATTAAGAGGGTAGTCAGTGTTAAAAATTATATGGTTCCATAATTTACATTTTCACATTCTTACTGGCTTTTAATTATAAAATGATTTGATAACATAATTTCTGAATTATCAAATTAATTAAGCCTGTTTTTTATAGCCAGCTAAAAGAAATGCTGCTTAAATGTTTTTTTTACCATCACATAATAATATGTAGAAGATGCTAATGTAGTAAATGTTGGATAATTTGCTTATTCTATTTATACAAATAATAATTCAAATTAAATATCCTTTACAATTAATTTACAACATAATATCGATTGCTATGTAAATCCTAGTAAGCCCTTAACTTAATTGTCCTAGTCAACTATAAAACAGAATGGTCATATACTTATAAACAAAAAATTAAATTGACAAAGACACGACTAGTCAAAACATAGCGACAAACGTAAATTCCCATCTACAACAGGTGTGAGGAAGTCGCCCATGGCTTAATGCCTTGTTTCTTTTATTTAATTAAAATCACTTTGTCGTTCAACAAATTAAAAAAATATATATGTAAGTAGGTCGGATATTACAAGTCATTAAAACGAGACTATGTATTTCTTTTTATGTTTTTTACAAGGGTGTTTAGAAAACCAGGTTGTTACCTTTCGTACAGCGAAAAGGGATATCTGGAAACTTATCATAACTTAGGGCATTATAAAAAAATATTAATTCTAGGTATATATTAATATTACTTTTTTATTATTTTATATATATTTATATATAAAAATAAAATTATATACGTATTTATATATATATTTGAGATAAAACAAGTAAAAAACAAACGTTGTTGTTTGTATACGTCGGTTTTAAGATGTCGCCATCGAGCCTCCGTTCGATTCCCGGTCGATTCAATGTAGATTTTTTTTCTATGTTGTCTCGGGTTGTATTGTGTTACCTTCGTTGTCTCAGATACTCCATTATACGGGAGCTTTCGCTACTCATCTTGCATTCTGAATAATGTGTGTGATGTTGTGTTATATTTATTTATTAAAAAAAAATTTTATTAATAAATAATTTGTTTTATTCTTTCCAGAGCCTTACCCTCCACCTGAACTTCCACCGAACATGATGGAGTATATGTCGTTGAAAAATTCATTGCCACCAACAACTGTCACCCAGAACCCTTCATATTTCGCTCACACTGCAGTTCGAGTTCCACCACCTCAACAGGACCCAACTTTATACGACCGTAGACTCACCACGTCTTGGCTTCTAGCCAACCAAGTGCAAGCACAAGGACTGTTAAAACCATACCCCATTTCGCCTTGGCAAAGAATCATGTTGCCTTATCACGATTCGAAGAATTTTTCACCATACATTAACCTCCATAACGATTTACTGAATAGAATCAATACCGATGACGTCAAATCTGAAAATTCAGAACACATTTCTGTTGAAGCTAGTGATGATAGTACTGATAGACCTGATACTGATGATAGGAAGAGTGATGAGAAAGAGAAGAAAAAGAATCCGTATTCAATTGAGGAGTTACTCAAAAAACCTGATAAAATTGTTAACTCCCCTCCGATAAGTGTATCGAGTTTCCTTAGGCAACCGAGCGGTAGTATGATTGAATACAATCAAGATATAAGCAATAGAAGCTCGCCGGCCAGTTATTGTTCTATACAAAGCAATGTCTCAAATGACTTCGCCGAATCGGTTTCGTCTGAAATTAAAGCGAGCAATTAAATTTTACTTAATTGGCATAAGTGTATATATTCTTTGCTATTGGTAAAATTAATAGTATTATTCTGTTAAAAATACAGCGACGAATACAACACGGTCGCAGAATTCTTTTGAAGTAGGTTTTGTAGCAGGGCAGCGCTGTGTTTGACGCTGTGTTTTCACAGAATGGCAAGTCAAATAGCAAATTTTCTATTCGTTTGAACGCGCGAAATATTTAAGCGATAGGTGAAACGATACGGTTTCATTAGCTTCGAGTATGGAAAGATGGCGTTATTGTTCAGATTTTTTATATTAATACCTAATTATTATATTGGCATTTACGACATAATTTATTGGTGTACCTCCACAGATTTACTTTTTTCTTTGTTCTATGTGATTGTAATTTCAAGTTGTTTTTAATTGTGATAATAGGTTTTAGTTGATAGATAAATCTTGATGGACATTCAACAGCACGTCAGGTTCTTCATTTGATTTTAAACTTTGTTGCTTTGACAGTAGAGTATAAAATCGTCTGCAGAAATTATTGTAGTTTTTCTGTTTATATATTTAACTCGGTGTTTTCAAACGAAATGGCTACCATTTTTAGGGTTAAGACCGCAATGCAATGGCAACTGTCAAAAGAAGATGGTGTTTTATACGTGTATAGTGCTGTCTCATTTTAATTGTATCTTGTTTATGAGTTCATGCTAAGGTTCTTAAAACTAGGAAAGGCTAAATGGGTGATATAAGCATGAACTAATATAATAGTATATACCCAAGTATAAAATCCTAAATAAAGTCCATTAAATGTAAAACTAATCAATCTGTCGTTTATTACTTTATTTTAGATTATGTACCTGTAGTAAGGAAAAATTGTCTCGATGTGAGAGAAGAAATGTTCCTCAGGAATTGCAGAAATATAATATATCTATATTAAATTGATGGACGAGTAAAATATATAAAAATAAAATTAACAGTTTTTAATGAACTTTTAAATGAATAACAACATAAAAATAATAGATCCGAATTTCAAAGTAAAAAAAAATATTAATTAACGGATTAAAAAAACACAAAAGCATAAAGTTCAAATGATGTGTTATTTTCTAAAAAAATATATATATTAACAATTTTGTATAATTGTAATAGTGACAAATGATAACAGTCATGTAATAAACTAATATTTAATATGTTATAATACACATTAATAGTTTAATTATATTTTAAGCCTAGGTCTATTATAAATGATTTGCCATAAAATTACAATCCATATAGGTACGTACTTATAAAAATTAATTTTCTCTTAAGAATTAAATTATTGTAACTTAATTAATTTAGTTTATAGTTGAAGTAGATAAGGGAAATATGAATATCATAAATGAAATTATAACGTAATTATTTTCATATTTAGAATAATCGTACTGTGATATTTTATTAAGAACCTGTAATTATTATAGCTATACTTTTTTCTTAGATATTGAGCTCTTAACAAATTTCTAATGCTTTTCTACTAATGAAGTCGGTAGAAAAACGTTAATGGTATATATCGTTGAGGAAGTTTGCAGTCTTCAGCTTTATATATAAAATCGTTAACATTATTCTCAGTAATTAAAAAAGTATTTTTAAAGGAACACAAGCGATTATTGCTTAAGGTTTTATCATGTTATCACTTTTTAGTAAAAAAGCTTCTCCCGTAAAACATGCTTCTATTGAGACTGGATTTAGAGCAAAATATTTAGTAGGCGAAGAAGACGCCATATTAATTACAACTCTCTTCGTCCTATAACTATAAGCTTAGAGCGGCACTTGATGTATAGACGGGGATAACTCCCCCCAACTTATAATCTTATCGGTACAAAATATACCTACCTACCACTAGAACTAGCTTTTATATTTTGTACCTATAAGTTTGAATCGGGCGTAAGCGACATTCTCCTCAAAGCGGCAGAGTGCACGCTTCCTTGACCGTACTTATAAGGTGTAATTATTTCTGCCATAGCAGGCATAGTTTAGTGTACATAAGCTCGACGTCGATTACAATTTAATATTAGTGATGAGAAATTGTATAGTAAGTAGTGTAGAAACTGAAAGTAGTTGATCATTCAGCAGAAAGCAGCACAATAAACCAAATATTTAAAACGATCTCATTTTTATTTACCATACCCTATTTTTAGAAGGAAATATTTATTAGTTTTACGAGGCAAAATCAATAAATAATATGTTCTAGTTTTTAAATGATCATTGAGACTGGAAAATTCAAAATATATTTATATAAAGATAATAAGTTTTTAAGTGCAACGGAACTGCTAACATTAGAGTCTTTGAAGTTGAGTTCTTGAGATAAAATATGTTTTATTTATATTTTAATAAAGTCAAAATGAGGTACTATTTTGAATGCTTTCCGTAAATATTGCAACACTTTTTACCAGACACAATTGATGTACAAAAGGGTTTACGAGAAATGTATAAGTACAAAATTCATTGCCAAATTGTTATTTGAAATGCAGAATAGTTTTGCTCTTTGTAATTTAAACATAAAATAGATATATTTTTTTAAGCTATATATTTTACTAAAAAGTATTTTGAAAATATCGACTATTGAGTCCTACAATCAATTTTCGATAAATAAAAAAAAATAATGACGTAAAATGTATAACGTCAGATTTTGTTTACATACCCATATACCTCCGATATGATCGCCAACTAATATCAGCTTATGAAAAGAGTCAAGAAGTCTTTCTATTGGGGCGGAACTGAGAAAACATTAGATTGTGTTGTATTTTTAGAATAACTTTTTTACAGTTGGGTAAACATAAAATTACTTAAGGAATTAATTAACAACTGTTAATAGCTAATAAAAATAATAGTATTCTAACTACTAATAGTTCTTATTTAGTAAAAATACCTGCTTGAATTATGAGATATTCTCTATAAATAACTTATCTCGACTATAGATACGAGTGTTGATGCCGCCAAATCGTTTCAGTCCATAATGATAACTTCTTAAAATGACAACCGGAGGCAATATAGCCATTTTTCAAAATGACAACTTCTTAGAATGTAAAATTTGTAATAAGACAATTTCTGTTAAGGTAGAATCCTCACAATGCTAAGTTCTTGATTCTGTTTATGTTATGGGCCAAGTTATAAATCTACACAATGACCGGTCATTATTTATATTAGAGAGGAATTTGATAATAATTATTCAAATAATCAAATTGACCGAGCATTATACATTATTGTTCATTACCTTTTAGGCAGAGCAATACAAACATATTTAAATAATAATTGTTCAGTTTTATTGACATTTTTTCTTATAATGATCCCATTATAACTCTTGATTTCGATCTAGCCCAAGAACATAAATGAAATCACTTAAACTAAATATCAAACAATATAATATAACCAATCTTACTATTTTCATTAATTAGCAACACGTATATTCTTCATACATTAAGAATTGACTAGATTTTGCATTTAAAATTTAAGGTAAGTTATATTAAAAAGAAAGATAACATAAAAAAATTAAAACATATCTTTGTATGTAACATATTTTTTTAGGTTTTATACTAGTTTTGACTGATGCACTTTAGAATCGGCGACTATGCCAACGTGCGAAAAGGAGGCAAGGACAGAGCGAAGAGTGGGAACATAATCTCATCACGCCACAGGGGGGAGAAGCATAGTTAAAAAGAAAAGAGAAAGAGAAAATTTTATTGCTGCCATCCACATAATCTTATAGTAAACCATATCACGCGTTCTTCTCTCTCCATTATTATTATCAAATAACCAAATTGTCCTAAAGCAATATAACAATGACCTTGCAATGTGATAAACAATGAAGTTTAGATAGAAATTAATCACTTAGCCCGATAGAGCTAGACATTATTCATAATGCTCACACAACGGAACGACGCTCGACAGAACATATAAATATACTTCCTACATAAATATACTCCATAAATCTTGCAATAAATTTATTTTATAAATGGAGGGTAGATAGAACTATTGTTTAATTTTAAAATGCAACAACAGCCATACTGCATTTAATACCTTGTCAGTTCATGTATCATACAGAGATGGATCGCCTAACTTTTCAAATAAATCTGTGTGATCTAGTGGCGAGATTCAAATCGTAATGTGTTCCTAGGTGAACTCTCCATTGATAAGTGCATGGAAGAAATAAAAACCGTTGAGAGAAAAAAAGGATCCATATTGTACGACAGTTAACGGTTATGCCTTAAGTTCGAATGTGTAATTTTTTAAGAGCAGGATATTTCATAGAGTTACTGGCTCGGAATACGTTACGAAAGATTCAAATTAAATGACAGAGAGAATGTGAAGTAACTATGGAGGTACAAATTCTGTACGATATTCTTGGCATAAAAAAGATAAGCGAACCTCAAAGGTGAAAATGATCATAATCCAGTTCAGGTAAGAAAATATTTTTAAACTGTAAACATACATATTTAATTTCTAATATTAGATAAAAATTTCTATGGTAACGTTGTTGTGCTTTCGTGCGCAAGGACTTTAGGATAAATTAAGAAAAATACATGGTTGAGTTAGGTATACTAGTTTAAGAATTTACAGAATAAAAAATACTATATTCTTTATCTGCGGTGCATTTTATGGTTTGATGTACAATAACTCACTGCATTACAGCTACCTGAAAACCTGGAGTGGACTTGTGCGGACTACTCAGGAGACGGTGGCAGGAAGAGTGCATTTGTTTACTGGGAGATGAAGACGAAGACGAAGAATTGGAGGAATGAGAGAAGAGGGAAGAGGAGAGGGAGCTAAAGAGGTGTGTTCAGTTGATACTACAATTTTTTGAAAGAGATGTCTAAAGCCCTTCGGCTGTCATCGAAGCTGCTGGTTCGTGACTAGTTGAGAAGGAGGAAAAAATGATCATTGTTCGAAATGATTTTTAAAACAAGTATGGATAAATTACTGAAACGAGGACTAAGCGAATCTAAGAAATCAATTCATGATAGAGAAAACTACTAGCTGACCCAGCGAACTTCATACCGCCATATACTATTTTTTTTTATAAATTTTCTTGTATAAAAATCTTGTCCTGCAATCGGTTGGAAGTTATGCGCGTAAATACCTACATTTCGAAACAATTTTCGATAAAACGTACACTTTGAAAGAATTAAGAATGCATGTACATTACTTTATATATATTATACTATCTTTTTTTTACGGTGGGATACATTTGAAGGTTGAGCTTACGGTGAAACATTATCTTTATTTATCTTATTACCGCCATCAATGAGATATATAAGGAACGATAATGACGAATTGTGCTTCAGAAAAAAATCCATAAATTAATTATTAACAAACCATCACGATTAATGTTGCTTTTAAAATTTTTATTTGAACATTATTTTAAGTATAAACCCAAATAAAAGTTAGTCGTTTGGGTTGTATCAGCGCGGAGGTCACATAGCCATTGTTTTTTCACTGATACCTCCAGTTTATTAGTAATATCTGAGTGTATTCATCTAACTGGGCCTATTGATGGAAATTGTAAACATTATTGTAAATTACATATCGAAGTTAAGGTTAAACCATAACCAGTATTGTGATCCTGAAATCTGTTTTTGGCTTGTCTAAGAAACTAACTATTGTCTAAGAATTTGTGAATTTTACTTCACTCTTATGTTAGAGATGTCAATTG